ACGTGGCTCGTCGGCGTGGCAGCTATCAGCGCCGAGTGCTCGCCCGCCTTTGTGCGTGACATCACGCCGCTGCTGGTAGCGTTCCTGAAGGATCTCGACGTGGCAAAATGGCACCTGACGTTCATCTACACTCTCATGTGCCTTAGCAACCTCTCCTTCTTCTTTGCCGCGCTGGAGAAGACGGAGGGTGGCGCGGACGCGCTTGTCGAGATATACGCAACGATGGGGCTCATCCTCGCCGGCGTCCTCTTCGACGGCGACACGGAGGCGACAGTGGAGGCGACGCGTGTGCTGGGCAACATGAGCCTCACCAACGCGGGGCGTGACTGGATGGAGTCGTGCCGCTGCGACGAGGTGTGTGTGGTGTTTCTCGGCCACGAGGACCCCCGCATCGTGTACAACTGCTTCGGCGTGCTACTCAATCTGACGGCGGCGGACACCTGCCGGGTGGCCACCGACCCAGAGCTGATGCACATGCTGCTGCAGCACACCGGGAGGTACACGCGCGAGGATGGAATCGCGGCGGAGAAGGCGAGGGAGATGCGTCGACGCGAGAGCGTGACCAGCAGTGAGGGGGAAAAAGAGCTCAGCTACACGGATCAAATCGCGGACGTCGTGGAGAAGCTTCTGCTGAACCTCAGTGGCCTTGTCTAACGCACAGGAGGATGTAAGCGCATTCCAATGCGAGAGAAGCGAAAGGAAAAAAAAAACGCATGCTCAGTTTGCGTGAGTCGGTTTTTTTTTTGCTCTTGATACCCTTTATTCAGTTCTGCGCCCTGCCAACCTAGCTGCCTTGCCACTGGCAGCGGAAGCACCAGTGCCGATGGAAATAAATAGACACTCTTTCCTCAACACATCATTTTTTCTCCGCGCCATTTGCGGTTCTTCAGAGTTTCAGAAACAAGGTTGAGGAAGGAACCTAAGGAGGTAATAACGCAGAGGCCGCAGTCATGACAGATGCCCCCGTTGATGCGCCACAGTTCGGCTGGTATCGCCCCCGCTACCTGCCGCAGCGTGAGCCCCCGGTGGGCACCTTCCCGCCGCTCTCCAAAGTCGTCGTGAGCGATGCGCTTGATGGCAACGTGAGCGACGAGGATGCGCTGAAGCGGCGGGCGGCATTGGGCCTCGCGTGGGAGCGTCTCCGGCCCATCGAAGACGTCTGGCACGGGGCGCCGATGAGCGGCACGGTGCCGCCGGCGAAGGACTACGAGCGACTGCTACTCGACGCACCGTTGGGCGATGCGCGTTAGCCACCGATGTGCGGCGCAGTGCCACTATTATTCCCCTCGTCATTCACGCCTGTAGTACTGCGCGCCATTTTGTGCATTGCTGTTATTATTATTATTATTACTATTGTGCCCTTCACTTACTGTGCGCTATTTCTCTCTCCGCTGTTCTTGTTTTTAATTTTCGATTTGATCCATTGTTGCTGTTGTTGCTCTGTCGTGCTCCCGCTGTGAATGGAGAGAAGGGAGCACAGAGGAAGTAGCGCGGCACCGAGGGGAGGCGGCACGCCAACGTGTAGGGGGCACGACGACAACGGCATACGAAGAGGGGAGAGTACAAACAAAGAAGAACACAGGGCGAGGGTTAATGGCCAACGCGTACGAGGAGGAGTACGGCAAGTTGCAGCTGCCTCAACGCCAGAACGAGAGCACTATCCGTAAACAGGGCGCGTTGGTTATACGCCCCCACGACAACGACGACAACGACGACAACGACAACGGCGATGATGCCGGTCCCTCCGTCCACCCAGCTCGTGCCTTTGCGGAGGTCTACCTGCAGCCGGTGGTGCGTTCGGTTTTCCTGGCGGAGCAGTTCATGCGATGGTCAAGGCGTGACCGACGCGCAGAGGAGGCTAACCTGTGGAGCCTGCTCCTAGAGCTCCTGCTGGATGCTGAGCAGAGCGGCAAGTACAGCCCCGGCGCCATCGGCATTGCGGAGGTGCAGCCACATCGTCGTTGGTACATCTCACACCAGGCGCACGCGCAGGACCTGCTGCAGCGCTATCCACTCCTGCGTCGCATGAACATTGTGGTGCGATGGCTGGAGCAAACTTACCGAGAGGGGAATACTCCACTCAAGTTGTCGGCTTCTCGCTCCCCCGAAGAGTCTGTGCTGCTGCGTCAGATCATCCTATCGCATCTGCGCGGAGGTGAGCTTCACAAGGCCATTGATTTGGCAGTTACAGCGAGGGATTGCACGTACAGCTGTCTGTTGAGCGCTGCTCAAATGCAGACAGTTGCCGAGCCGTGGTTTCACCTGACGTCGCTGGTGCCGCTGTTCGGCGAGTACGGCAACGGGGAGATGGACCAGGCGTGGGCAGGCAACGAGCACCGCCTCGATAACTTGTCGCAGCTCTACGAGGACTCCGTAGCGCTGTCCACATCGGGCGAGGGTCGAACAGCAATTGGGGGATTAGACGCCGTCATCGCGGCGGTGCTTTGCGGAAACTTGGAGGTCATGGAGCCGGCGTTCGTGGCCGCAGGGAACTGGAAGGACGCACTGTGGTGCCACCTGCGAGCCGCGTTGGTGCTGTGCTTCACCAAGACGCTAATGAACGCGCACGCCCCCGTCCAGGCGCCGTACGCCGGCCTGGTGCAGCGCCTTACCGGCCCGCACGAGTCGTGGCAGGACGAGACGGCGCGCTGCGTGATTCAGCGGCTTGCCGACAGGTTGCAGAGCACATACCTCCCTACCGCCTCGCTGGAGGAGCAGCTGCAGATGCGCGTCATCCTTCAGTTCCTCTCGCCGGGAGGTGTTGACTGGTTGAGCATCACGGGCGACGCGTACTTGAGGCGCCGTGACGGGGCTCGACTGGTCTCGCATCTCCTTTTGTGCATTGACACGGCGTATAACGAGACATTGCACTCGCACTCTGTTCAGGTGTACTCCAACACTCTCGCCACCGCCCTCGCGCAGTACGCGCAGAACCTCTCCCAGATTCCGCAGTATGCGACGCAGGACGCGATGCGAGCTGTCATCGCGATGAATTTGCACCTCCGTGACGTGCGGCAGCGCGCGTCTGTGTACGCCGCCTTCCTCGTCGCCTGCAGGCGCAGGGAGCTGGAGAGCATGAGTCGTCAGGACGTCGAGTGCCACGAGGCGAAGCTCGTGCAGATGTTCTGCAGGGCTGACCCCGTCGGAGCGGTGCACGACGAGGTGATGCGGCTGTTGAACCAGAGGACGGAGCCCGCCTCGCTCCTCACACACAACGCCGTCGCGGAGGCGGTGATGTGGCGGGCGATGCACGCGGACTCGCACGACGACTTCGCCGCCGCTCTCCGCGACGCCCTTGAGGCGTGTGTGGCGTTCTGGCTGGCGGAGCCGCATGCAGAGCTGGACGCCATCGCAGATGTGTCTGGCGTGCTGCAGCGCACAATTCTGCCGAGTCTACAGCACGGCACCGCTGCTGCCTCTGCTTCTGCAGCGGCGGGGGCGGCAGCCGACATGGAGCTGGCGGAGGCGCACTTCTGGCTCGCCTTCACGCGGGCGCGCGCCA